CATATGTATATATATATGCATATTTATTGATTTTAGAGAGGAGGGGAGAGGGAGAGAGAGCTAGAAACATCAATGATGAGAGAGAATTATTGATTGACTGCCTCCTGCATGCCCCCTACTGGGGATTGAGCCTGCAACCCGGGCATGTGCCTTGACTGGGAATCGAACCGTGACCTCCTGGTTCATAAGTTAATGCTCAACCACTGAGCCACCCCAGCCAGGCTTTCTCTCTTTTTTAAAAAATTTATATTGTTGAAAGTATTACATATGTCCCTCCTCCCCCTTTGCCACGTCTAATTTTTGAATGAGATTAACATTTAAATAGGTTGAGTAATGCAGAAACCTGTAATGTGGCCTTCTGCACAGCCAGCACGTTGAGTCCATGTTTTAGGACTTTTTTAACTAGAGTCTGCTGGTGCCTAGGGCACTGTTGACGGCCGCCACATCTGCGCAAGATGGCTCGGGGGAAGAGAAACACCCTCCAGCGCTGATATTTTTCTGCCCCTTTTCCGCTGGCATCCAGGTGGCTGGCTGAGGGTCTGGGAGCCATGGAGCCCGCCGCTGGTGAATTGCAGCTCGTGCCCAGGTCAACAAAAGAAGTCCCTGCGCCCGACGCTGCGTGCTGCCGAGTGGCGCTCTCTGCTGCGGTGGCCGCCAGCATCGCCATCCTCACCCTGGCAGTCCTCGTGGGTAAGTGGCCGAGGGCTTGCGTGGGTTCGTACACTGGGTGACTTGCACAGTGACGCTCAGAGGCGGCTCGGTGGTGTCCACGTGATGACCCCAGCGACAGAGGGCTGAGTGTGCAAGTGTGGAATTGCAGGCTGGCCCTTCCTGCCACCCAAGGGCTACGATGAGCAGACCAGGTTCCCCGGCACACCCTGAGGTGGGAGGGCACATGGGCAGGCGGGTTAATACCTGCTAATTTCATTTCCCACAGCTGGGCTCTCCAGGGGAGCTCTCACAGCCGGGCGTGAAAACAAAGAAAAATCAACCAAAAAATGAGTTCGCGTGTCACCTCTGACACACGTGTCATAGGTTCACCATCACTAAACTAGGAGGTCAGGGTTCGATTCCCGGTCAGGGCACACACAGAGGCAACCGATCTTTTTCCTCTCTCATCATTGATGTTTCTATCTCTCTCTCCCTCTCCCTTCCTCTCTCTGAAATCAACAAAAACATATTTTTTTAAATAAAACAAAAGTCTTAAGAAACTTGAAAAATATTTTTAAAAATGAACAATTGTCTATATTCCACCACACAATGGCTCCCATTTCATATTTGTTCCCAGTAGACATTCATAGAATTTAAGGTGAGACAGGCAAAATGATGACCCATCTATATGGTGTGGGACTGCAGTTATAAAAATAACAAAGGAAGATCTTTTCATATTTCAACAGAATGTACTACAGGGCCCTACAAATTGTGCTGCCCATGATGGTGGCCCGAGCCCCATTGGCTATTTAGAGTTAAATCCACGAAAATGAAGTCATCTTTAAAAATTAAATTCCTCAGTCCCCATCAGTCACAGTCCACAGATGGCTCGTGGCTCCTGTACTGGACAACACAGAGCTAGAATGTTCTGTCATCTCGGGAAGTTCTGTGGCTCTGGAATGGGCTCATCCTGAGATGATAAGGTTCTTACGGTTTTATTTGGGACTGTGAAAGTCACCTTGCTTTCATGAGATGATGATAGCAAGTAGCAGTTTGGCAATCCTATGTGGGTCCCCCTAATTTAAAAATATATATATTGCCCTAACCGGTTTGGCTCAGTGGATAGAGTGTCGGCCTGCGGATTGAAGGGTCCTAAGTTTGATTCCGGTCAAGGGCACATGCCTGGGTTTCGGGCTCGATCCCCAGTAGGGGGCATGCAGGAGGCAGCAATCCATGATTCTCTCTTATCATTGATGTTCCTATCTCTCTCTCCCTCTCCCTTCCTCTCTGAAATTAATAAAAATATATTTAACAAATAATAATAATAAATACAATTATGATCATTTTTGCTAATGTGTCCTTTTGACAGTCCCAACATATTTCAACCGTGAGAAATGCGTGTTTTCATGGTTTATGTGGTTGCTATTGTTTTAGTTATTTAAAATTTTTATAACTATCATTCTTTGCTAGTGTGTACTTTTTTCTTTTTTAAAAGTGCAATCTTTTTTAAAATATATTTCTATTGATTTGTGCTAATGTGTCCTTTTGACAGTCCCAACATATTTCAACTGTGAGAAATGCGTGTTTTCATGGTTTATGTGGTTGCGATTGTTTTAGTTATTTAAAATTTTTGTAACTGTCATTCCTTGCTAGTGTGTACCTTTTTCTTTTTTTAAAGGTGCAATCTTTTTAAAAATATGTTTCTATTGTTTTGTGAGAGGAAAGAAGAGAGAGAGAGAGAGAGAGAGAGAGAGAGAGGTCCTTTTGACAGTCCCAACATATTTCAACCGTGAGAAATGCGTGTTTTCATGGTTTATGTGGTTGCTATTGTTTTAGTTATTTAAAATTTTTATAACTATCATTCTTTGCTAGTGTGTACTTTTTTCTTTTTTAAAAGTGCAATCTTTTTTAAAATATATTTCTATTGATTTGTGAGAGGAAAGGAGAGGGAGAGAGAGAGAGAGAGAAACATCAATGATGAGAGAGAAACATCAACATCGATTGGCTGCCTCCTGCACACCTCCTGCCGGGGATCGAACCCAAAACCCGGGCATGTGTTCCGACCCGGAATCGAACCAGTGACCTCTTGGTGCATGGATTGACGCTCAACCACTGAGCCACACTGGCCGGGCGCTAATGTGTACTTTTGACAAAATATTTCTGACAGTTGTAAACCCAAGTGTTTTCAGAGGGTGGTGTCCTGGGTGGTGGTCCGAGGGTCCGGTGCCTGTGGCTGTGGTCATGCCTGGCAGTATTTGGTGTCCCCTTCCCAGGGCGCAGCTGGGATTGTTGCTCTAAAGCGGAGGAGGTATCCTGAGGTCGTTTCAGCCATTTTTGGCTGAAGCCGGCTTCAGGCCCTGGCCCGGCACATCCAGTGAGACAAGGGCAACTGGGAGTTAGTCCTGCCCTCACGCTAAACCTGGGGACCTCTGAGGCTCTGTGTGTCCCTGGGGCCTCCAGGTGGGTGACATGTGAGAGTTGAAAAGGGGGCACTGTTAATCAGTTGTAAACCCAAGTGTTTTCAGAGGGTGGTGTCCTAGGCCGTGGTCCGAGGGCCCGGTGCCTGTGGCTGTGGTCATGTCCTGGCAGTATTTGGTGTCCCCTTCCCAGGGCGCAGGTGGGATTGTTGCTCTAAAGTGGAGGAAGTATCCTGAGGTCGTTTCAGCCATTTTTGGCTGAAGTCGGCTTCAGGCCCTGGTTCGGCACATCCAGTGAGACAAGGGCAACTGGGAGTTAGTCCTGCCCTCACGCTAAACCTGGGACCTCTGAGACTCTGTGCTTCCCTGGGGCCTCCAGGTGGGGGACATGTGAGAGTTGAAAAGGGGGCATGTTAACAATCAGCCAGGACAACCCCTGGGGAGTCAGCCCACCCACGTGTTTATCAGGTGACCCGGGCCCCTAGGTGGTGGGGCCTTCGAGGCCCCTTCGCTGAGCCCGCGGTGGGCTCTCTCACAGAGCCCTGGTCTCGCCCGCAGCCTCCCTCTCTACACAGGGTGTCGATGTGGAGCACACGGCCGAGCTGCAAGGGATCCGGTACGCCCGCAGCCTGCAGCAGGAGGCCTCCGACTACTACCGCACGCTGACGCCCACCCTGGAAATGCTGGTGAGGGGCACCTGAGAGCAAGGGGGCAAGGTGGGTGGCCCGGAGCTTCCACCAAGAGAAGCTCTCATGCCGAGCGAGCTGAGCAGGGGGAGACCCAGGCGGGCCCGGGGCAGGGAGGGGGGGTACATGGAGGAATTGGACTAGGCCTGTGTGGCCGAGGCTGGCGCATTGTAGGATGCAGAGGAGAGTGGTGCCCAATGGGAAGTGACTCCTGCAGGCTTGTCGGCCACGTTTAAAGGTTGTAAATTGTCCTCCAGTGGAGAAATGAGGATCCCCACTCATGGCTGGTGGGAATATGAAATGGGGCTGCTGCTAGGGAAAAGCCTAGCTGTGCATCAGAAAGTTAAATTAGAGTCATCCTGTGACCCAGCAATTAATTCTGCCTCTCGGTATCCACCCAAGAGAAATGAAAACACACGTCCACACAGAAACCTGCACACGCATGCTCACTGCAGTAGGAGTCACAATGGCTAAAAAGTGGAAGCAACCCAGATGTCCACCAGCTGGTGAATGGATACACAGATGTGGTCCCTCCCTGCACACCCTGGAGTATCACTCAGCCATGAAAAGGAGTGAGTCACTGACACTATAGCGTGGATGAACCCTGTACATGTGGTGCTTAGTGAATCAAGTATCTGTTTTAAGATTTAAGCACGGCCCTCGCCAGTTTGGCTCAGTGGATAGAGCGTCGGCCTGCGGACTGAGGGGTCCTGGGTTCGATTCTGGTCAAGGGCACATGCCCGGGTTGCGGGCTTGATCCCCAGTAGGGGGAGTGCAGGAGGCAGC